AATCGCACTCATCACCAATGGAGACATGTTGTGCATCTTTGAAAAAATTGTTGATCTCATGGTCTCATACTAGAATATAAACTGCATGTGAATAGGAAACTTTATCCTGGAAATCTAAAGCAATGCTGGGTACATAGTAGATATTTGACCAATACATTTTGAATGAATGACCAGGGCTTAAACAGCAATTTGAATTTTGCTGGTTTTCATTAATACTTTTTAATACTATAGGTGTTTATCTATTCATAAACACACACACACACATGTTTAATGAATGGGAACTTATTTTACACCTATAGCTGGGGGAGGGACAATCTTGACGGGGTACAGGCAACCACAAGAACATGGCAAAGGCATAAATGAGTGGGGAAGAGCAGTGTTGGATGTGAGGTAAAGCCAGTGTCACTTAAGTCCTGCCTGAGGGATAACAGAGACAGAAGTAAGCTCTGCTTAGGTTCAAAAGCAAACATGGGTGTGCAGTGTCATTCAGCTATGGATCCTGACCAAGCCAGATGAAGAAAATGAATCTTCACTTCTTTTTCTACTACTCACAGGGTTGCTGCAATGATTTATTGAGAATCCTAATGAGAGAAATAAAGCTTTATAATCTGTGCACATGTAGGCTAACATGAGGAATTAGAGACTACTCCCAGAGCATGAGCATTGCTTGTCTCTGTCCCATCGAGTATGGAGTCAAACCACTCAACAATGTACTTTTTTTTAAAAAAATCTTTTTTTATTTTTATGTGGTGCCAAGGACATAACTCAGTGCCTCACACATGCGAGGTAAGCACCCTACCACYGAGCTGCAGCTCTGGCTCCTAAACAATGTACTTTTTTTGTGGGGGGAGGTTTACCAGGGATTGAACCCAGGTGTGCTTAACCACTGAGCAACATCCCAGTCCCTTTTCTTTTTTATTTACAGACAGGCTCTTGCTAAGTTTCTGAGCCTGGTCTTAAACTGACAATTCTCCTGCCTCAGCCTCCTGAGCAGCTGGGATTACAGGTGTGTACTACTGTATCAGCACAAAAGCTACTTTCAAATCTTATTCCAGGCTCTGAGGTATACCTCAACAGTAGAGTGCTTGACTAGCACAAATGAGGCCCTAGGTTCAATCCCCAGAACTGTGGAGGGGGAAAATGCTTCCCAATAATCTAATCAGCATACATTTAGAGTCCTCAGGCAGGAGAATGAGAGATATTGGAACCTGCTTTCTGGGGACATAGCTCAGTTAGTAGAGTGCTTGGCTTGCATCCACAAAGTCCTGGGTTCAATCCCCAGCACTGCAAAAATAAATAAATAAATAAATAAATAAATAAAAATATATATATATCTTCTAGAAGCCAGCAGGGCATGGATATTTAGCAATTGTGGATTGAAACACAATGAAAAGGAAGAAGTAATGAGGGGCTGGGGATGTGGCTCAAGCGGTAGCGAGCTCGCCTGGCATGCATGCGGCCCGGGTTCGATCTTCAGCACCACATACAAACAAAGATGTTGTGTCCACCGAAAACTAAAAAATAAATAAAAAAGAGAAAAAAAAAAGTAATGATGCTGGGGTCAGAAGACTTTAGTCCTAGTCTCAGTCTGCTTTCATTAATTATACAACCTTGGGAAAGTTATTACCATTTTCCTTATCAGGAAAAAACAAGACAGCATATCTCACAGGGTTCTTATAATGATTGAGTTAGTCAACTTTCCATTACTTACTTTGGCTCACAGTTTCAGAGATGTTAGTCCCTGTCCACTTCCTCGTGTTTGGGCCTGTGATGAGGCAGATGATGATGAGGGATGTGTGATACAGCACAGCTGCTCACCTTAGTGGTGGCCAAGAGAGGGAGAAAGGGGCCAGGGACAAAATACACCCTTCAAAGGCCTGTCTCCAAATAAATAGGCTCTGCCTCCTAAAGGCAAAGCTATCAACCAAGTGTTTAGCACAATTGTCAAAAGACAAAGTTATAACAAATTTAAAGATCTGATTGACTTTCATTTGCATTTATAGAATAAGGCAACAAATTGCTGAGCAGAGGAAGTTGGTTTTATGAAGCAGCCACAGAGAATAAAAAAGATTGTTTCAAACTTTCTTTCCTGATAAAAGTCAAAAGTAAGGGAATTTCCTTACTTTTGACTTTTATCAGGAAAGAACTGGTCTGTTTGGGGATTTGGCTAACATCTCTCAATTTCTTGGAAGGTCAAATAGACAACTTAGTTTGGCTAGGTGGTGTGGAACTTCAGCAAATTCCACTTTGGTTTGATCTGCTGGGCATAGTTCAGAAGCTTAATCCAAACCAATGGACTCCTATAGATCATATAGGGTGTGATCTGCTTAGCATCAAAATAGCTCATCTCTAAAGGTGAATATGATGCTAATGGCTGGTTTTGGCTGTAGGGCAGAAATGTATAGGATGAGTATGGGCACTTTTTAGGGCAGAAATGTATAGGATGAGTATGGGCACTTTTTAGGGCAGAAATGTATAGGATGAGCATGAACACTTTGATGTGTCAGAAATCAAGTACATTCTCCAAGACTATGTTAAGGCCAGAGAAAAAGGATCACAAGAAGGAGCTCTCCTTGGCCACATACAGGGAAATTTGAGCATTAAAAAATATATATATATGGGCTGGGGATGTGGCTCAAGCGGTAGCGCGCTCGCCTGGCATGCGTGCGGCCCGGGTTCGATCCTCAGCACCACATACCAACAAAGATGTTGTGTCCACCGAGAACTAAAAAATAAATATTTAAAAAATATATATATATATATATATATGAAATTGATTGAAACATATTGATTATACTTTAAAAAGATCCACAGCTTCATAATGATTCTCATAGGATAAAAAAGCAAAATCCACTTTAAAAATGAAGAATTAGGGGCTGGGGTTGTGGCTTAGTCATAGAGTACTCACCTAGCATGTGTGAGGCACTGGGTTCATTCCTAGTACCACATAAAGATAATAAAGGTATTTATCCATATATAACATACATATAATGAAGAATTAAACATTTGTCCTTCCTTTGCTATCAAGGTATATTTAAGGGCAATGAAATAGTAGCCTTAGATCATGAGAGAAAGAATTATAGATAATAAATGTAGAAAGAATGATTGGGTTAGAAAATTAACTGGGCTGGGCGAGTAGCACTTGACAGAGTGTTTGCCTAGTATGTACAAGGCCCTGAGTTTGATCCCCAGTGCTGCATAAAAAGAAAAGAAAAAATTACCACAATCCCTGATGAAATAACAGCAAATGAAAACAGCAAGTAAGCAATGAACATTGGACAAAACCATTAGACAGAGTATAATGAAGAGCATCACAGAGGCAGGCTGTCTCCATAGGAGCCCAGCGTCATTGAAACCAGAACAGTGAAGCACTGCGTATTGTCAGTGCACATCATTTCCTGGGAAGTATTCTTACTCACCCTACCACATTGAATCCAGGTACCAAATCTCTATATCCACCCTCAATTTACAGGAAATGTGGGAGAGGAACAATTTTAAACTGCACTGGAAGAAAATTAGTCAAATTCACAAAATGGAACTCTACATGCAGAATGACCCAGTTTCTAAAAGGCAATGACAGGGAGAAAATAAAAGGGTGAGAGARGGAATGCTCTAGAATAGGAGACATATAAAAGCCATGGAAGTAAATTTCATATGTAGATTTTGTATGTAATCTGAGTTGAACAAACCAATTGTAAGAGAGTGCAGCCAGACTACTAGGGAAATTTTATTCTGGACTAGGTATAACTCCAGGATTAGCTGATTTTCCGGTGTGAAAAGGCATTGTAGTTTTGCAAAACACAGTTCTACTTTTCTACTTTTTCAGAGCTGTATACTGATATGTACAAAAGTGAAATTACATATTTGTAATTTGTTCTAAAATGCAGCAGTAGAAGAAAACGGGAATACATGAAGTTTCAGGATCTTGCCAACTGTTGAACGTTTGTGATGGGAATGAGAGTTCATTGTTCTGCTTTTGAGAATGCGCATTTTCATAACAAATTTTAAAGAGTTTTTTTTTAATTATGTATAGGAGAGTGGTATAGTGAACAAGCATTAGTTCTCCTTCTTCACACAGATATAAGATATGTGGGTGGAAGCTGAAACCCCCTCAGTGTTTTATTTAAAATACTCTGGGATTTGTTCATTTAAGGACTTAGGCAGGCCACGTGCCCACCAGAGATCTGGCCCCAGAGTGCGCAGGAAAAAGTTCAAATCAGCAACTGTCACAGGTGGGAACTCTGTAAGACCAAAGTTTGAAAAGCTTTTGTTTTTCTTTTTCCTTTTTAAGTAGGGAATACTTTTCAATCTACCCTTAGGGGTATCTGCAATTTTCGCAGGATAAGCATTAACCGAGCAAGCCAAGAAGAACCAAAGGTAGGCCTTCCCGCCTATTCCCTACAAGCGGGATGAGAGAGGCAGGACTAGGCAATGAGACCCCCAAGTTCTGGGCCTGCGTGAGGTCAGCTTAGCGGCGCGCGGGGCTCTTTCCCGCCTCGGCTGCCCTAGCAACTGCGCAAAGGGGCGAGGGTGAACGGAAAAAACAACGTGTGGSCCCGCCAGCCACAGGAGCTCCCAGCCCTTGACAACTTCCTTGCAGTCGCTGTACAGGCAGATGCATTTTCAGAGCACGCTTCCGAGGTGACCAACACCTCTCCAGGAAGCCCGCCTTTCGCTGGGCTTCGTTACCAAGCGGTCCTCGCGAGCACTCGGCCCGCCGTTCCCCAGAAGCCCCTCGTTGTTGCACACCTGGATGGTTCTCGCCTGCAGGCCAGCACAAACAGAATGATGAGAGGAATTCGCCAGCCAACCTTCTTCAGCCTGCAGCGACTATCACCAGGCTGTCACCGTCGCCGGCCAGGCCAGCACCTTCGGGGCTCTATGACGTCGGCGAAGCCCCACCCTGGCCACGCCCCTCCAGGCGGAGCCAATGGGAGCGCGAGGCGGGCAACTTGCCCCTTCGCCCCGCCCCTCCGGCGGAGCCAATCGGAGGGCCGGGCCGCTCCGCCCTCCAGGGGCCCGCAAGGGCTGGCTCCTCCGCGGCGGGGCGCGATGGACCCAAGCCCCAAGCCTGCTCATCTCSGCGTCCGCCGGGCCCGGCCGCCGCCAGCTGAGGCGAAGCTGCCGGTGAACTACGAGGAGGAGCTGTACGACTGCCTCGACTACCACTACCTGCGTGACTTCCCGGCCTCCGGGGCGGGGCGCAGCAAGGGCCGGACGCGGCGCGAGCAGGAACTGCGCACCAACCGGCCTGTGCCCGGCGGCCACGAGCGCAAGGTCGCGCAGAGGCTCCTCAACGGCCAGCGCAAGCGTCGCCAGCGCCAGTTGCAGCCCCGGCCKCGCACTTGCCTCGCCTAAGCGCTGGTAGGTGGAGACCGCGACCCGGGGCYGTCTTCCCGCCGGGGCTGCCCGGCCACGCTGCAGTACGCTCGCCTCTCACGGCTGTAGCTGCAGGGGTGCAAAGCCGCCTTCCGCCAGCCACACCGCAGCAGGGCCCAAAGCCGCAACGAAGCGCAGGAACCGCTTGGAAGACAGGAGCGCTCTTCCAGCGCTCACATTCACAYTAGAGTACTGATTTCTTTTTCTGTCTGATTTTCTACAGGATACTCAAAGGACCCGATAAAAGTATTTTCACTTAGTCCAGCTGTAACTGTGGTCCTCCATGTTGGTCAACAGAACTTTTCGACATCCTTAAGTTTGCCGCTTCAATCTTTTCCTTACCAATTGTTAATTAAGTAACGTCCAAGTGGGTATGCCTTTTAGAGTTTTTAATTAAATAGAACAGCAAGAATGGCATTTTCAACTCTTCTGGGCTTTTTTCCCTCTTCTAGTTACTATAGTAACTCGTTTTTGGTGCATAAATACTTGGGTTCTTATATGCAAAGAAGAGATCATAGAGACGGATGGGGGAGACCAAAGAGGAATTTGTACAAGATTTCTATCAAAATGTCACAGACCACACTGAAGGTTTAAAATTTGTTATAATAGGACACACTCAACAGTAGGTAGGTTCTCTGCACTTAACTGATGTCCTAACAATCCTTTGAGGTAGATGCAGCTATCCCCACTTTAGAGAAGAAATTCTAAGGCACAGTGAGTTCAAGTAACTTTCCAGAGATTACACAGCTAATTAAGCAGTAGACCTTGTTTAGTATAGCAGTAAATATTTCATTGTTTTAACCAGAATTTTTCTACATGGTATGTTAATACATATATGCAAACCATACTGTAGTTGAACACTTTTCTGAAAATGCAAAATATTTTGTGGTTGCAGATATCTATAATCCCAGCTACTCTGGAGGCTAGAAGATCACAAGTTGGACGCAAGCCTGGGCAAAAGTCAGACACTGTCTCAAAATTTATTTTATTTATTTATTTATTTTTTTTTAAAGACAGCATTCTTTTTTTTTTTTTTTTAAGAGAGAGAGAGAGAATTTTTTTTTTTAATATTTATTTTTAGTTCTCGGCGGACACAACATCTTTGTTGGTATGTGGTGCTGAGGATCGAACCCGGCCGCACGCATGCCAGGCGAGCGCGCTACCACTTGAGCCACATCCCCAGCCCCCACTGTCTCAAAATTTAAAAAGCCTTGGAATGTAGCTCAGTAATAGAGCCCTTGACTAGCGCTGATGAAGCCCTGGATTGGATCCCCAGTACATCTCCCCTGCAAAAAAAGGGAAAGAAAAAATGAAAAAAATTTACAGGAAGCTCATTTTCCTTMAGCTAACTGATAAAGGAATAATGAGGAGCTGGGTACAGAGGTGAAGCCTGTAATTCCAGTGACTAATGGCCAAGGTAAAAGGATCACAAGTTTGAGTCAGCCCCAGCAATTTAATTAGGCCCTTCTTCAAAAAATGAAAAGGGGCTGGGTAAAGTGCTCACCTGTAATCCAGCGATTCTGGAGGCCAACACAGGAGGATTGGAAGTTCAAAGCCAGCTGCAGCAATTTAGCAAGGCCCTAAACAACTTAGCAAGACCCTGTGTCAAAAGAGAAAAAGCTGGGCATGTGGCTCATGATAAAGTACCCCTGGGTCCAATCCCCAGTACCAAAAATAAGTAAAAGGGGATATAGCTCTGTGGTACAGTGCTCCTAGTTCAATCTCTAGTACCAAAAAAAAAAAAAAAAAGGCAGCTTTTTTTCAAATACATTTTCAAATTTATAATTTTCCCCAAGATACAGGAAGTGTTTTAGGCAGGCTTGGTGGTGCATTCCTGTAATCCCAGCAACTCCAGAGGCTGAGGCAAGTTTGAGGACGGCCTGGACAACTCAGCAAGGTTCTAAACAACTCAGTGAGATCCTATCTCAAAATAAAATGGCTGGAAATGTAGCTCAGAGGTTAAGGGCTCTTGAGTTCAATCTCCAGAAAAAAAGTTCAAAGTGCCCCAAACCAACAGATAAAGGCATTCACTTTTCCAGCATCAATTTTCCTTAGCTGTTCGACAGTGTTGTATGTTTCAGAACCACTCACAAACTCCATGTTTAAGGACAAGAGTTGAGTTACAATTGTAAAATTAAGCAGAATATGGCAGGCTGATTGTCCTCTTTAGTCTGCATTCAGGCAGGCCTTCTGCACCTATCAGTGTGTCCTTGATTGGGACAGAAGATAATATATTGAAAGGAACAGCTCATGTGAATACTGGCTGAGATAATCTGCCATTCTGGCATCCAGAAAACTTTTGAGTGGTAACTAAGTTTCCACCAAGCTCGTTTTCTCATTTGTAAAGTGGAAATGATATTGGTTCACCTTGCAAAACTATTACAGACAGAATCTAGAAAGCATCTAACACAGTTAAGAGCCAGCACATGATAGGTACTCAAATGAGTGGTAGCTAATTTTAAATTTATAGAATATCTTTCTTCTACTTACTCTTGAGTAATCTTRAATTTTTTCACTTACTACTTTAATTCTGCTAAAATGTCTTCAGCAATGTAGTATGGTAGTAGTCTGGCTTTGGAGGTAAGCACTATGGAGCCTTGGACAAGTTATTTAAAATCTAAGCATCTTTCCTTTACCTATAAAATGGTAGTAATTGTAATGTCTCTAAGTGTAAATGAAAYACTGAGTATAAAGCTCTTAGTACCAGGGCTAGGGACATAACTCAGTTGGTAGAGAGCTTGCTTCACATGTACAAGGCCTTGGGTTCAATCCCCAGRACCACTTAAAAACAAGCAAACAAACTCTAGTACCATACACACACACAGCAGGCGTTAATTTTTTTTCCAGTATCAGGGATTGAACCCAACTCATACAAGCTAGGCAAGCACATTCTGCCACTGAGCTACATCCCCAACCCTTTTTTAATTTTTATTTTGAGACAGGGTCTCGCTAAGTTGCCCAGGATGGCCTCAAACTTGAAATTCTCCTGCCTCAGCCTCCTGAGTAGCTTGAATTACAGGCATGTGCCCCATGCCTAGCCTAAAGGTAATTTTTAATAATGTTTTCATTGCTTGGTCCCCCTTCTACCTCTCAAATATAATGYACAAATTGGCTCTGTGGTGCAATGGATAGAGCATTGGACTTCTAGCCAAACCTGCAGAAGCCATTCAAATACCATGTCCAGATTAATCTTCCTAGAGAAAATTTTAATCATACAAACACCCTCAATGGCTTCTCTAACCATATAATGTAAAAAGCTTGAAATCCTTATATTGTCCTAAAAATCATATATTGGATTTTAACTTAAAACTTCACTTAATGACTTGTTTGTATAGTTCTTAGTACTTTCAGATCAGCAGTTCCAGCTGTTATTTTTTTGTCAGATATGTGAAAGGCACTATATTCGTATATCTCAGTTCTCCAAAGAAAAATGACATGTAGAGCAACTTACCATTTTGGTTCTTCCACAGCCAACTGTTAAGTACAGCATGCCCAGACAGTGGCCGTGTCAAACCGACACACTGTAAGATGATCTGCTTAATAGAGTTTGCTTGTTTTAGATGCTAGAACTTTTTAATTAAATTTAAAACATGGTGGCTGTAGAAAAATGTGTATTATATACTGCTGCGTAACAAATTACTTCAGACTTAGTGGCTTAAAACAAGTCACATACTGCTTAACCAGTGGATGTGTTCCAAGAAATGCACTAGGCAATTTCCTTGTTGTATGAACACAGTGGTGCACCTGCACGAATGGAGATGGCTAGTGCCACTTGACAGTGCAGTCTTCTTGACTGTACTCACCTCAGGGTCATTCTGGGTCATCCTGACTCAGGTGTCTCCTGAGGCTGCAGTTAAGCTGTTGGCTCACAGACCTCTGAAAGCYGTTTCCAAAATGGCATACTCCAGTGACTGTGACAGGCCTCAGTTCTTTGCCACATGAGGCTCTATCCAAAGGCTGCCTGGGTTTCGTGGCATGACATCTGGCTTTCCTCAGAGTGAGGAACCCAAAGAGAGTGAGTGTAGACTCCAGTAAGATTGGCAGCCATTCTGAAGTCAAACAACAACAAGTGCTGGCGAGGATGTGGGGAAAAGGGTACACTTGTACATTGCTGGTGGGACTGCAAATTGGTGCGGCCAATTTGGAAAGCAGTATGGAGATTCCTGGGAAAG